CTGTGTAAAGGATGACCCATTGATAGCACTTAAAGACCAAATAACATATAAAAAACAGTACGACAAAACAAGAACATTAGAACTTACCCCTGATTGCTGAAGCATCTTCCCAAACAAGATGCGCGCATACCCCCTTTTGCTAACTACTAGATACCTCTTCCCAAGCATCCACGGACCCAGTAGAACTCAAGCTCCCACCAGTGCAAAGCAGGAACAAAAATAAATGGGTCAAATTATATTATCTAATTAAGTGTATAAATATATATGCATCTACACACCCATACATACACAGAAATATAAATAAACAAATAAATTATATATAGGAAATAAATCAGTAATAAGGATAGAGAAAAAAAAAAAAAAAAAGGGGGGGAGATTTTAATAAAATATAAGTACCGGTAGTATAATAGTATAAAAATAGAATTAAACAAAAATAAATAAAAGATCATAAATAAGATAAGAAAATGATTAGAATCAAATATGTAAAAAAAATAAAATAAAAATAAATAAATAAATAATAATAATAAAAAAATAATAATAATAATAAAAAAAAAATTATTAAATAAATAAAAAAAGGGAGAGAAAAAAAAAGAAAAAACCCCTGCAGTTAAGTTACCATATCACGGATATAAATCAGAAATAACGAACATCAGCCTCAAACCAAATCACAGTTATTAGTCAGAAGGAGCACCCCCTCCCAGTTTCTTAATAAAGTCTGTGGCAGCTTCGGGGTCGGAAAACTTGCGCACAGCTCCATTTGGCAGTGTGATTCTTAACTCAGCAGGATAGAACAGGCCAAACTTAACACCAGGGCACGAGTGTAGGAGACGTTTGGCATTCCCAAACTGTGAGCGTTTTTTGGCCACTGATGACGTAAAGTCTGGAAAGATAAAAATTTTCCTGCCCTGATAGAGAAGAGGTGCAGCAGCTCCTGCCCGGCGCAGAATCAGTTCCTTCACATGAAAATAATGCACTCTGATGATAATTGGTCGAGGTGGAGCTCCTTCTTTAGGTTTTTCCCTGCTAGACCTGTGAGCCCGGTCCAGAAGCGGCACATCCTCCAATCCCAAAAGGTCACGCAGAAGCTGTGAGATGAATTCTCTAGGGCTGGGCAATTCCAGTCCTTCAGCCAGCCCGATGAGACGAATATTATTACGCCTTGATCTTCCCTCCAGATCCTCACATTTAGCCTTTAGATGTTTAACTTCCTCCGTTAAAACAGATACGGAGGACTGCAGGGAGGACAAATCATCACTGCAAGTGGTAGCAGAGACCTCGAGCTCTTTGATTGTGGCTCCCTGAGTTTCAACAAGAGACTGGATGGAGTTTATATTAGCATTAAGCTCAGCCTTTACGGAATTAATTTCTGACCTTAATGTGAGAGTAAGAGAGTCGATCCTCGAGTCGAAAGTATCGCAAATGTCTTGCTTCAGACCCTGCAGTGCTTTGGTGAATGTTGCCTCACTGAGCGGTGTATCTGATCCACGCTTGTTCCTCCCCAGCGGCGTCTCATCCATCCGGAGCGCGCCCGATCCGGAGCTCGTCTCAGCGGCAGTACGTCTCTGACGAGGTCCCTTAGTCTCCCTCTTGTCCATTTTACAAGAGTCGCAGTACTTTAAAACATAAAATGGTCCCAAACAGTACCGAAGAAAGTTGGCGGAGACGATGACGTCACAGTCCAGCGACACGGGCGAGCGCAACCAGTAATTAGCTTTAGCACAATGGACCGTCTGAGGATGGAAACCAGTCTTTTATGCTCACCCGTGCCCGCAGTAATATCAGTCCTAGTGCCACTGTGCAGGGGATAAGGGATCAACCCGAAAGCGACAGACCAGTCTGTTTAGGGCCGAGCGCTATGAAGCTAGTGCACGCCGGCTAGGTCCGAGGCGGCGACCGCGGCCTGCTACGAAAAGTTATTGAAGCAAACGACTTAGCGACCAAAAAAGGTGTCAAATGAACCAGGGATTAGAAGCGCACCATTATATACATACCGTATGCAAGGCTGATTTATAAATAGGGGTGTACTTTAAAATGAATGTTTTGTCCCTGCTTTTGCGGAGCCTCGAGAAGCACGTCTTCACTCCATGGTGTTCCTCCGCCTCCCTCCTTACATCCTCTTTTATTTGAGTGTGTTTTCTAAACTTGATTTAAATATCTGGAATTGATATTATGATGTGCATTGATTATCTGATTAAATTAAATAGAGTGGAATTAGGATTAATCCAGTGAGTTTCTAATCTCTATAAATTGTCTTTCTGTTTTTTGTCTTCAGGGATGCTGTGATTGGGAAAGTGTTAACACAGCACTAAGATTGGTCCTTAAATGGCTCTGAAATGAACTCTGAACTATCACCTCATGCTAGGTTGAGGCCTCAGAGTAAAAATTACAACTGAGTGGGTCACAGGGCTCCCTTTGCCAGTCCAGATGTTAACCTGATTTACTAATACGGACAGTTTATGTGGCGCAGTTATGTTTCCTCATGATCAATGTTTAAATGTATCGATGTCAACAAAGACAGCATTGGCAACAAATGGTTATTCAGTTCTCTAACAGTAAATTTCTAAGCCTTTCTTAGGTCTTCCTTATCTTTCCGTTCACAGTGTGAAGATCAAAATACAAAAACAGGCACTTTTCAACCCCTATTGTCAGCTAAAAATAATGGAGACATTTTCATTCTCGCTCTGTCTGTAGAAATGTGCTGGTTGAATGAATGACATCTATTTTGACTGTGTACAAGAACACGCAGTTATGCTGATAAACAACTGTACCAAATACCAACAATATTGTAAGTTTGCATAAACATAAGCTTATTTCAACATTCCTCCTTTTCCACTGGGAGGGATCAATTCAAACAAAATTACCTCTTCAAATTTCTTCATAACCAAAGTTTCTAAAATACTTTTTAAAACTGGATTATATTTGGACATCACTGGAGCTCCTTATTTAATCTTTTCCACAATCTCCCTCTGCAAACAGAAATAGACAATTGTGTTTGTAATTTATCAAAGTAAATAATCCTTAATTATAACTACTTTGATATAGAAGCAAAAACCCACCAAAATAGCTTATTAACATGTTTGTAACCAGGTCAGCTCTACAATTCTGTGCAAAAGTAAAACAGATGTAAAAGGCTCCACACTGAATCTGCTTCCCCAAGTTTGAGCAGTTAGGATTGCTGAAACATTAGACTTATTTTATGGACCCGTTCTGATCTGCTGTTAGCGTGTTAGCTCCATGTATAAAAATGATGTCCCAGCAGGTCTGCACAACAGATGCTACTTCCACAGGGCAATAATCATGTAAAAAAAGGCCACTGGCTCTGGTTCAAGAGGCGCAGCCAACAATTCTATTTAATGCACCATTGCTATGTGAATGTTTTAGACTCAGAAATACGTTTTTTGGAAAGTTCAAAGGTCATGTTTGCAAATATGTTAATCTTGAGGAACCAGCTGGATTCAAAACATATAAGGACACCCATTCGTCAGTCTCCTCATTGCACAGGCTCAGTGGAAAGCCACATATGCTGCTTGGCATCCCTGCCCCACATTCAAGTGGCAACAGGTCAGGCTTATACACTTCTGCAGCACAGTGGGGGGCAGGTGAAGCATGCCTAAAAAAAAGACGAGACCAGCAAAGATCTTTCTATCTGGCTGTCAAAACAGCACTTTACACAACCCTCTATTTGTGGTGTTGTTTAAAAAAGGTCAGTTATGAAACTATGATTACAGCTTCTTTAACAGCGGCTATGATCTGATATCACGGTTGACGTAATAAAAAATTACACTAATCCCCCATTTTGCTCTAAAATCTGATAAGGTCCTCTTGCATAATTAATGATTTATGACAAGTGATACAGATTTACTGCAAGCGGTTATTTTTCACTGAAACAATTTTTGCACAAAAAAACAAACAGAAAAAACAAAAATGGGAAGGAACAAGAAGGTTCCATGACAAGCTTTATTCAACAGTAAACATTAACAAAAAAAAAAAGAAAATATTTCATTTCAAAAAAATATTTAAAGCAAACATACATGTCACTGAAAAAAAGGTAGCCACTGAAAAAAATGTAGCCTTTAAATAAATACTAACATCAGGAACGATCATTTCATAACTATAAAACAAGAGACGGTATATACAATCATACAAGTTTAATAGGACATGCTTAGGAGTTTGACGGCACCATTTGTACCAAACACTGACTACAACACAATGGCTGCATAATAACTGACATGGTCACCGAGCCGCCTGAGCCTCCCTTTACAGAAAGGCTTCGCATCAGACAAAAACATCAGCAAATACTTCCTTTTTTATTTGAAAAGTTGGTAGTATAATGGTATAGTAATAGGTGTGGGAATGTCTGCCAGTTGACTGATGACTTCTGTCCACAACCACTGGCAGAGCTGCAGACTGAACCGCTGCAAGGCAATGAGAGGAACTTTGGAAGCCTTTGTGTGATTGATCACTTTGAGTTGTTCTAAACCAGGGGGGGTCCACACATCGTTAAGACAAAACAGTCATCTCAGCTAAATATTTCTAAGATGACATGAGAACTCACATCATGCATTAGATAGTGAAAAATACACATAAAAGAAGAATGGAAAAATAGCTTTCTTTGGACAGGGCCAGCCTGTGCAGTTGGATTACTTGTTTCCCTCGGTCCCATTTTATTTTCATCAAACACAAGCCCTTCATTAAAAACTGATCCCTTTTAAAGTATACGTTTCATTTTTAAAGTGTGTAATTGCTAACTTACTCAAGCAGCACAGTTTAAGGGCATTGCAAAAGCATTCATAGCCTTTTGGCTTTTTTACAGTTTCACAAATGTTTTATGAGACTAACAGAGGGTAGTTATGAAAAGTTGAAGGAAAAGTATATAAAGTGGAAAGGAATGCATGATTTTCACTTTTTTTAAAAGCAAAATGATGCCTGCATTTGAATTTAATTTGATTTACTCTGACATACCTATACAAAACCCATGGCGAAGGATCTTAATATTTAAAAAAAAGTTTCCTATTGACTAGTTTAATCTCAGTATAAATGCAGCTGTTTTATGAAGGCATCTGAGATTTTTTTGTGAACATTAGTGAACAGACAGCTTCTTCACGACTGAGGAACACAGCAGACAGCTAAGGAAGAAAGAACTAGAGAAGTTTTATTTTACTTCATTAAATAAAACCTCAAGCTTTGAAACTCCTAGATAAAAGTTTTCAATTTATAATCGGTAATCAAAGCGGAATAGGAATCAAGAAACAGTTATCTGTCTTGACTAACAAGCCAGACAAGGAGAATATTAATAACAAAAGGTTACTTTTGGTAACCATGAAGCAGAACCAGCTATTAATCCTACACTTAAATTCTTGTTACTGGAGATATATATTAGAGTAAATGTGGTTCTTGGAAAAAAAACCATTGGATGATTTGCAAAACTGGGGACACTATGGTTGTCAAAATACTTTAGATTGAAGCTGGATAGCAACATCCTGAAAAAATGTAGTATATTCTTAACATTTTGAAGAAAAAAAAAATTCGAAGACATAAGGTTATTATTTTACATTAGCTTAAGCTTTGTGCCATATTTAATATGCCGCTGCTTCCCTTTGTAAAATTACTTTAAACATAAAAATGCTTCTTCAGATTTAGTGTGCTGCTAAAATGCGTAGCCACCACTCAAGACTCCTAAAAGGGATAAACAATGCTTTTGGCTTTTCATCTAATGCATTTTCATTTTTTTTTCTTTGCCAGCATCAATGTTCGAATGTGTGGCTTTAAGAGTGGGTTGTGGCTCTGCACATCTAAAATGCTTCTGTGCAACACTGTGTTCCAGTTTATTAAAATTAAAAAATAATTTCAGGTTATAGAGATTTATTCAATATGTTTTGTTCAAAATATAAATTTATTTTTTATTTTTTCCCTTCGCATATCCAGTCGATCGAGCCAACATGTGGAGGAACATGCTATGATTTAATGGTAGGATTTTTTTTTTAGCCTATATTATCACAAACATAGAAATGGGAGAGTCATGCCTTTAGAGGAACAGGTTCACATTCCAGCAGGCCACTAACCTTTACTAAATAACCAGAGGTTAAATAGATTGGTTTAGTTCAAGGTATCTTTTGCAAAAAAGGGTATAGGCAGTATGAATACTTTTGCATGGTGTTGCAAACCTTACATCAGCAAAATGACACACATTTTAGCTAAAAGAGGCACGTTGCCCTTTTTCTCTACTCTGGTTTCTTCGTCACTGGTTATTCAAAAAAACAGTGACTACACAGAAGAAAGGGCAGACAGCGATCAGCAGTCCGTTTGTACAGCAGAGATGGTTTTAATCAATGACATACTGTATCTGTCCACCGATTACTTAGAGCACAACAGTAATCACAAAGCTGCATTATTGCCACACTTTGTAACACAAGCACTTCAATCATTATTGCTTTACGGTCAGAAGCGCAGAACTCACAGCTGCAGACACATAACCATGAAGCCAAAGATTTAAGGTGTCGACAAAAAGCGCCCGATTTTTGCTCCACTGCCGTTCTCACCTACAGTAAGAAATGCTTATTGAAGGTCGAGAGACTCTATTGTGCCGACACATAAACTATAGTTGTCTTGGAAGAATAGAGTTTTGAGTGCTACATTAGATCAATGCATATCCACAGGCATTTTACAGTATTGGTAAATTTTACTGACCTTCTGGGTACATGAAATTAAAGGCATTATTTTTCAAACTGCATACAACTGAAAAAAGTGCCAACATTGTAATGCTACAAATCTTTTTTGAAGTATATCCGATAAAACACAGTAAATTTTCAATAGGAGCCAAGCAGCAATGATCTTACATTTTTTTAAAACAGCCTTTTTCATCCCTTTAAGTACTCAAGCACTTCTTCGTAGAGAACACCCCACAGCTCACAGCTGGAACCTTGTGTGTTTATGCTTCTGATGGCAACAAAAAGCCGATTTACCTTCCTATTTCTGATACATTAGCAGTAATAGTGACTCCTGTAGTGAATGAAACCTTTCCAAACTTTCACTCCTATTTTCTGAACCGGTTTCTGCAGTTGTTTTTGCAAATAGAGACCCCTACCAGCCTGTGCTACATGCTCCACTGAAAGTTTGTGGAGCAGCGCCATGAACAGCTACACAGCCACCGATCTTCAGCCCATGCAGGTGGATGAAAGGTGCAGCAGCACTACCTTCTCCAGCTCACATCACCACTGAGATGGTTAGAACTCCTCTCTGAGTGTTGGCTCTCGGTAAGTTTTGCTTCTATTCTCCCTCTGTTCTGTCATCTGGATAGGGTAAAACAGGCGACATTTCACACCACTTTTAGAGAGGGACAGTTGCTTTTTTGCTAATTCCCAACAGATGCATGCTAGATTTATGTAGGTTTGTTAGAAAAATATATATTGAGATTGTTGAGAGGCATTGATGTCGCAAGGTTAAACATTGCAGACTTCCATAAAATTAGGATAAAATTAAGATGTGCCTGTGGATTGTCAGACAGATGAAACACTGTTCTAGTTTGTTGAACAAAATTACCTTACTGATACTGTTTTATTTGAAAAGTGTAATAAAAAGAAACATGGGTTATGAACTCAAAGGTTCAGGAGAGAGTGGACAGCTAAGTGTCCGTCTCTTCTGAGGGTTTGTTTGGTATTCGGGGGGGTGAGGGAAGGATTCAGCAGGAGAGCCCTGATAAAACCATCATGCCCACCCCCCCTTCCCCGAGACCAAATAGGCTGGGGCTGGGAGTCGCGTACAAGGAGCTGAGCCCTGTTCTCTCCTCCTTCACATCACCGAGCAGCTCTTGGTCTTTTCCTTCTTGAAGGTGGAGGAGAGAAGGTCCGACTTGCTGGGCAGGTGAAGGAGTCTTTTGGAGAGCCGACGGGGAGGGCTGGACTTTGGGAGGGGCTGTAGTTTGTTGATGCAGGCCATTGCTGCAGTACGAAATACGCTGTGAATACTTTTCTCCGAGGTGAAGGCCGAGCACTCCAAATAGGCTTCAGCACCAAGTTGCTTGGCCATAGCAGAGCCCTGCAGTCAATCACATCACAAAATACCCGTTATGAATTTCCACAAAAAAATAGCAGGTCACATCTTTTTTTTTTTTTTTTACCACATTTAGTCCTAAGAAAGTCCTTTACTTATTAAAATGTTCTCTTTTTATTTCTTTGCTCTGTTGTCACTCTTAAATCTATCAAATCTTTAAAAAAATGTTGCTCAGAAAAAACAAAATTCTGCTGTTTTCAAATGATAGCTCCATTGATAAAAAGAAATAAAAGGATAGGCGATGTAAAGAAATTTAAAAACACATATGAAAAACAAGCTAAAAACATTCTGACAAATGTTACAACACTCCTAAAACTTTAGGACCCAAGTGTTATAGAGTTAGATGTGCAAATAGAAAAACTTCTCCTATGTCAAAGCCTCATCTGGGAGTTCAACCAATAACCCATAACAACATCTGAAGCCCTACATGCCTCACTCACTACAGTCAGCTTTCATACTTAAAAAGTAGTAGAAGGACAAAAATTACTTCTATGGGAGATTTTTTCAAATCAAAACCCCATCCTGTTCAATTAAACAAAGGGTTGTTTCAGCTTCCCCTAAAAACTGCTTAATCATCAGAAAGAATATGACACAATATGTACTAATCAGAGATTAATTAATACAATTTAGAATTTCTTATTGATATTGTTTTTTCTAAATCTTTGACCTATTCCGGTTTCTCTTTCAAATCTGTGACATTGAGGAATAGTATAGTATATAGTATAATAGTAATTCAATATTTATTCTACACGTTTCTGTGAAGAATAATTAATAAAAAAAATAATAAAATCAGCTGAGTGAGGCTTTCTTTGAGAGAGCATTGACTGTAAAATAATGTTATAAAATATTTTAAAACAAAAACATTATGAATACAGAGTACACAATCTCAATAGATTTTTTTTTTTATCTTGGTGATCTGTGTGGCCTTTATGCTAAATGCAGCCAGCATTGCTAGCAGTGCCTATGTTTATTCTCTTTAAAATAAACCCTTACCTTAAGAATTGCAAATATGCCAACATTTGAAAATTTAGCGTTTCTCCACAACACATCAACTTTACTTTACGCAGCTCAGCCTTTCTGTTATATTGTGAAAGTTCGACTTTCTCTTGTAGCCTAAGCAGGATTTTTTTCTCTTGAATAATTAACCACCAAGATCGTCAGTAAATTTCACTAAGCACAAAACTACATCCGATTACAGTTTAAACTAAATTTAAATGTTAATTATTACAAGCAAAATCAAACAAATTTGAATTACATCCTACTGAATAAAGCAATCAGTAGTGCAGTGCTGGCAGTTATTTTGCTAATTTCCTGATTTCTCACTGATAAGCAGGATTCTCTAGAAGCCAGACTTTGGTTAGGCTGGGAAAACTACAGAACCACATAGTCTCACATGCCCCTCAACAGAAAATATCTCCAAAACTATTTACTGGCCAAATGTTTTTCAATTTAAATTTCTCTTATTCACTACTGCTTGTATTTGATTCCTTATAACTTATTTTTTTTTTTTTCAGAAAAACAGTAAGTAGGTTAATTGTTGCCATTTAAACTCATAATCATGCAGGACTTCAATTATTATTTTCCCGTCCAGGAAAAAACATGGCATAGTTAGTTAGTTACTTAGTTAGTTAAAACATTAAATAAATAAAATCTCTCAACTGGATCATTTTGGCTGCCTGTGTGCAATAGAGAAAAATACTAAATCGGCCTTTTAGCTATTTTATCAATGCTTTATAGAAACTAAGACAAAAAAGGAAAGAATTATTTATTTTTTCTAAAACTTAAAAATAACTAATGGAAAAGTTGCGGATAAAGCTTTCTTCATGTGCACACTATGTTTCTGCTGCTTTTAAAGCCTTAGCAAAACCAACCAAAAACAGACTGAACAAGAAGATGATAATTTACATTTTCAGCAGCTTCCATGTTTTAGCCAGTCACTGCTCACTGATAGGCTGGATGGTATCTGTTTTTGTTTTAGGAAAAGAGCTCTGATTAGAAAGCCATCACTTATCTAAACTGCAGGAGCTCTTCATCACAACGATGCAAACTGTGGCAAAGAAATTAAACATTCATTCTCCCTCCGCTGCAGCACTGCTAGCTGAAGTCACTTTCATGACCTAAAAACTAAGGATGCAAAGGATAAAGAGCACAATCAATTAAAATTTTAACATATTAAACCTTGCAACATTAATGTGCAGGTAGTCCAGTTTGATCTAAAAATATACTTGAACTTAGAAGAAAGGATGGAGTAGTTGCATACTGTCCAAGAAAGACCAGCAAGTGCCAGGGCCGTCTCTTAAAAGTGTTTCAGCTACGGGATCGGGCTACCAGCAGTGCAGAGCTTGCTCAGGAATGGCAGCAGGCAGGTGTGAGTGCATCCGCACGCACCGTGAGGTGGAGACTCTAGGAGCAAGGCCTGTTCTCAAGGAGGGCAACAAAGAAGCCACTTCACTCCAGGAAAAACATCAGGGACAGACTGATATTCTGCAAAAGGTACAGGGAGTGGACTGCTGAGGACTGGGGTAAAGTCATGTTCTCTGATGAATCCCCTTTCCGATTGTTTGGGACATCTGGAAAACAGCTTGTTCGGAGAAGACGAGGTGAACGCTACCACCAGTCTTGTCTCCAACTGTAAAGCATCCTGAAACCATTCATGTGTGGGGTTGCTTCTCAGTCAAGGGAATCGCCTCTCTCACAGTCTTACCTAAAAACACAGCTATGAATAAAGGTGCCAGAATGTCCTCCGAGAGCAACTTCTCCCAACCGTCCAAGAGCGGTTTGGTGATGAACGATGCCTTTTCCAGGATGATGGAGCACCTTGCCATAAAGCCAAGGTGATATCTAACTGGCTCAGGGAACAAAACAGAGATTTTGGGTCCATGGCCTGGAAACTCCCCTGATATTAATCCCATTGAAAACTTGTGTTCAATCATCAAGAGACGGAAGGACAAACGAAAACCTAGGAATTCTGACAAAATGCAAGCATTGATTGCGCAAGAACGGATTGCTATCAGTCAGGATTTGGTCCAGAAGTTGATTGAGAGCATGCTAGGGAGAATTGCAGAGGTCCTGAAGAAGAGGGGTCAACACTGCAAATACTGACTTGTTGCATTAACTCATTCTAACTGTCATTAAAAGCTTTTGTTACTCATAATATGATTGCAATTGTATTTCTGTATGTGATGACAACATCTGACATACACGCATGAAAACCAGAGGGCAGCAGATCATGTGAAAATATAGTATTTGTGTCATTCTAAATACTTTTGGCAATTACTGTACTCCTTGTTCCATCTCCCACATATACTTCTCCTTTGCAGTTCCTCAGTGCTGGATTCTCCTAATTTCTTCTTGTATGTTTCACCCGAGTGACTCTAGTTTTTGGTTTCTGAGATCCTAGCATATTTATTCTAGATTTATGTTTTTGTACCAGTTACTTCACCATTAAAACTGCAAGAACCATCTCTGCCTCCTCTACTCTGCATTTGGGTCCACAACAACATCCACCGACCCTGACACTTATATAATAAGTGAAGTGCTCTATTAAATGAAAACATTAGAATCTAAAAAAGAAGAATATTTGGTCCTGCTACCAGTTCATCATCACTGACACATCTATGTTGGTACCTACCTGCTCATAGGTAACTGGTGTCTGTTTCATATTGGACAGCTCCATGAGGGTGCACACATCCGTACGAAGGTCGATCTTACAGCCAATCAACAGAATTCGCGTGCTTGGACAGAAGTCCAGAATTTCACTTTTCCACTGTTGATAGAGGGATGATTATTGACCTCTTTTGAATATTGTGTATAGAATGGGGTTATTAATACAATAATAAAAATATAAAACAAATTTTACCTTTTTGAGACTGCTGTCCATTGTGTCTGGACGGCTGATGTCAAAACACAACAGGACTGCGTCAGAGTCACTGTAGCATAGGGGTCTTACATTGTCATAGTATGGAGAACCTTTCAGGACAAAAAGAACGTATAGACAAAAGTAGGTCATCTAGTATTAACAGCAGATGGAGAAAAATGTGTTTGTGCCTATGCATGTGTGCAGGAGGTCAGCATGTGACATGTAAACTCACTCAGCACACCTCAAAGCAGTGTTTCCCAACTGGGGGATTAGTATACCCCTAGTGGTCTGCGGTGGTGTTGCAAGGGGTACATGAAAATATTAAATTTATCAGGTAATAAAATAGGACTGGGATCTGCTTTGCTTTCTAAGGACGCAATTAATAAACTAAACAAGCTTTTATCAACCAAAAAGTAAGTTTTTCTTATATGTTTGTTCACCTTCAGCTTAACATATATCAAAACCAAGCAGAGGAACAGACTGGATGTAGAGAACAGCCTGGTATCAGTTGTTTTTTACAATGAGCTATCAGAGCTCATCGAAGCAGCTCAGGTGTGTTGATGAAAACAAAATAACACTAATTAAGTTAGTCTGACTACAATTTTTTTTTCACTTTTTTGTTCCAATTCATAAAGTTTAATAATATGATTATAAGGGAGTAACTCAGAGGTGCTCCGGTTTTATAAATAAAGGTTTAATATGATTTTATTTTGTATTTATTTCGATTCCTTACTAACTTGCAGGCAACGTATTTATGTTGTTTTTATGTTATGTTTTATTTGAGATGGAAAGCATAAAATTTAATTCAACGCTCAAATTAAAGATAAGTAAAATAGTCTTTATTTAAGTTATTGTACGTTCCACTTTTGGACAATCATCCATACTGAGAGGGGTACTCATGGCACGACAAAATGCCCAAAGGGGAACACAAGTCTAAAAAGGTTTGGAAACATTGCCTTAAAGAAAGTAAATGTGTGTATGGAATGCATATTTAGGGTCTAAGGAGTGCAGCAGGAGCAGAGGTAAACCATCATCTAGCGGAGACGATTTCATAGCATCTTTTGAGAAAATGTGATGCACTCATAAACGTTTTTGATGGTTCTATGTTAATGCTTTGACTAATTCAACAGGAGATGTTTCCTGTGGTGCCGTTTGGGGAAGGTTATGGGAATATTCAGCTGCAAGGTCACAAATTCTGAGACTTTGGTGTATTTTCCTATTATTGGTCAGACATCTAGATCTAAGCTGGGAATACAATGAGAACATCCTTTAAATGCCAACTGGTAGACTCTGACACCACAGATTTATCATATTATCTGTTAAATAAATATAAAGCCAAGGGGGAAATTGTGTTTACTACAAAGAAATAAAAATGGATGTATAGCGTACCTAAAATTTAAGAGGAGTTCTCCTGTTTAGCCTCTTTAGTTAAAGGTAACTAAAGCAGTGTTGAATATTAAGTATTGTGCTTCATTCATTCATTGCCAAAATTCAAACAAATGAGTGATTGGTGGCCATGTCTTATCAAAATGGAAATCCATTGATATTAATAGAGCAATATCCCCAGCAATAATAATATATAAAGAGTCCAAGACAACTTTTGGTCTGTTAGTATATTTAGCTACTTATTCTACCATTTGTATCCTTTGTTGTCGTCTGCCCTCCAATCCTGAACTATGAAATATTAGTGAACATAATGACAGGCACCGGTCCATAACACGGTAACAACTGTACTATCATCCCTAAATGGTTGCCACTTAGTAAAAAGATGATAGACTTATCAGAATTGTATGCCTTTGAAGTGATGGCTTCCAAGGGCCTTAAACTGCAGCCTTTCCAAGTTCCTGATTTATCTATCTGTGATAAAATCCCTATTTATAGTGCTTTACCAGTTTATGTCTAAAGAGAAACAAGTGGGGATTTATTTCAGCTGTTTCCATAACATTTCATGAAAGCTCCTACTTTGCTTTATTTGTGATGCAAAGTTTGTGTTAAACTGCTATATTTTGCAGTCATCACCATAGAGTGAAAGTTCTTTCGAGATGATTGCAGATGTTCTAAGACATGATTATCACTGTTAGTTAAGAAAACGTATAAAGTAATTAGTAGGTCAGCTCACCTACTAATTACTTTTATATTAAGGCAAAATAGTATCAATCTTTAGGGATAATGCATAACTGCCTTCAAATCCTCTGGCTTAGATTTACTTTTCAGTTCTTGGAGGTGCTGTTTCCCCTGCTGCTATATCCTCTGCTGGCAATCCAGAGGCAGGAGAAGATGACAACGGTCACTAAATCTTCATTGATCTTTCCTAGCACTAGATTATGCAAGTGGAACGGTGGGGTTTTGGCCAGGCAGACGCTCCCACTCATGCTCAGAATCCTTAAGTAAGCCACCCACCCCCCAAAAATCCTATGCTCAACAAGCAGTACCTCCAGTCCCTGTTTCCACAGCAACAACCTCAGAATCCACCATCTACATCAGCCTTTCCTCCTCCTCCTCCTCCTCCTCTCACCTCTCCATAAAGGCTGGCCTTAGGTGCCAGTCAATCACTTCAGACCAGAACAACGAACCCACCCACCAACTGTTGGGAACATTCCTGCTCTGCAACAGAAACACACACGTGGCAGAGGAAAAAAAAAAAGAAAAGACACACCTGATTACGCACAAACTCGCTTTCTAAATTTGGCTGCATTCGGAGGTGAGCCCAATCTTTTATATGATGAAACAGAAGAAGGGGCTGCTCAGGGGGATTAAATGTTTACTTCAGTCTCAGCATGGATCCCAAAGGGGATTCAGACCTCCTTTTATCACCGCAGATAAGAAAAACAGTGTGTGTAATTACTCATTAGATATTACACAGCCATCCAGATTGTTTTATTCACAGGAACATCGGAAGAAAACAATAAAACACAAACATGGATGGGTGCATGTGAAGCAGTCGCATGAATATTTAATGATTCTTCACATTATCAAAGGTTGAAAGTGAATTTGCCAGCTGCCGGGCGATGTGAGAAGAGTAATGACAAGCTCTGATGAAATTCCTTAGGAATCAATGTCCTGAAGAATGTAAACAATATTGGAAAAGAACAAAAGAACAAGCTGTTCCATTCTACCTGTGGTTATGCCCTTTAGAAATAACAATGCTCTCTAAACAGCTATTAGACAAACATTATAAAAAAAATTCTCAAAAGAAATTCTGACACAATGTCTAATCTTGATTTATTTATTTCTAACAGTCTTCTGTTTAGAATTATAGGTTAAAATGTACCTTGTTTTATTAATCAAACAAACAATGTCAACAAATATGAGCATTCTGATTAAGGAAAAAGCTAAGATACCCAACCCCTTAACAGATACACTCTTTTCCAAATAACATTAGTAGGAAGCTTATTTTAACCACTGAAAAACAACAGAAATAAAAACAGATGCTGGCTTACAGTATATTCTCCGCCATCAGTCTGATAAAAGTTTCCCCCACTCCTTAATTTGAGCTGCAAGATGTTTGATGGGTTACTTTCATGTACAGCCTTTTTCAGGTCACCCTACATCTCATCAGTACCCTCAGGGTCTGAGCTTTCATTCTCAGACAGTCCTTGGTGGATTTATTGAGCTGTATGCTTTAGGCCAGTCATGTTTCAGGGACAACTCTCTGCTTCACCCCCAGGTTTCTTAGTCTACGTTCACACTGCAGGCCTTAATGCTCAATTCCAATTGTGAAATCCGATTTTATTGCTTTGCAGTTCACATTTCCAAATATATGCAACTTGTATGTGATCTCCTGTGTGAACTGCAGTCATACAACGCAAGTGTCCTGCATGTGCAGTAGAGGACGCAATGACGTCACAGGCCAGCGTGCTCTGTGTTTACGCCAGTAAACATGGATGGTAGTGCCAGAGCCCATCTAGAAATCTTTTCAAGACGGTTAAACATAAATACTGCGCTCCGCATCATCATCTGCCATGGTTGTTGTTTTTTTGCCACTTCTGCATAGCGAGACCTAGAAAAGTGACTTTTGTCGGGTATTAATGGTGTTCAGGTCGGATGAATGCGACCTGGCCGTTCAGACACAGGTCGCATTTAAAAAGATCAGATTCGTATCGGATTCAGGACACATAGCCAAGTGGCCTGGGTCGCATTGGAAAACATCAGATCTGAGTTGTTCAGACTGTCATGAAAAGATCAGATTCAGGTCGCATATGGGCCAAAAAAACGGATTTGGGTCACCTCAGGCTGCATTGTGAACGTAGCCTAACAGATCGTTTTCAGTTTCACTCAAGCTCCCTTTAATTCAGAGTAGATTTCATGGTGGACTCTAGGAACCTGGGCCTGCCAGGGAGCACTTCAGGAAAATATTCTCAAACCATAACACCTTAACCACTATGCTTCACAATTAGTGGTGGTACTGATAAGGGAAGCATCTAGCAATTTTATTTTGAAAATCCTTGAACCACATTGAGCCATCAAGGAAATATCCATGCCAGCCAACACAGAGGAGCAAGAGTCTGTCCCACTGTATGGAAGATTAAACATTTAGCTTTGACCACTATAGTGCCACTATAATTGTAATTTGAAGGAAGGGTCACATGTCAGAAACAAAAGTTTGCATTTAATGGCTGTAAAAATCAACACACATTTGAATCAGAACAATTAACCACAGTATAAGGCTGAAGATGTGTTTGAGCGTTCCTTATCTATCATGTAGGAGAGTCTGCAGGGTGCTCTTAAAATCTCCTCCTCCTCCAGTAAGAGGTTATCTTACAGCCAGGAAACAGGATGTGATTCTGCATTAAACAACCCTTGATCTAAATGCAGCAATCAATAGAGGGCTGCACTGGGGGAGGGGGGCTGAGAGTCCCTGCATCTAAGGCTTACAAATAAGTTATCTTGCCAACATAGAGGGAGAGAGATAAAAGATCAACTAGGATGTTTCAACCTCCCCATTTTAGATCTCTACTGCTACAAGCTGAGGAATGTATTGGACTGTCAGATCAATGCCCATGCAGTGATAAGCAAGGCCAAATGCTTCCTCTCCTCTCGTTCCCAACAGCCATCCACTGCAACAGATGGAGAATTTCTGAGGCATGAAACATGCGGAGTGAAGCAGACT